GGAGATGGATGGTAGGATGGAGATGGATGGTAGGATGGAGATGGATGGTAGGATGGATGGATGGATTGAGGGAGGGATTGAGGGAGGGATGGAGGGAGGGAGGGAGGAATGGGTGTTGAGTTGAAGTGAAGCAGAGAGAGCATGTGTATGGTATGCATGGGGGCGGATGGGGTTGGGGTGTCGGTGGTGGGGAAGGACCGACCGACTCTGATAAGCCTAACACACTTTACGCAGTTAACCAGATTTGTTTCTTAAAATTTTGGATGTACATCATCACATATTTTTTGGTTACAGATTTTATTTAGTAATATTATTAGGATAATCAAAAGTTATAAAATATTTGTTTCCATGAATACTTTATTGTATTAGATGGAGATTCTCCAGGCTGTCTCTGGCTGGCTGGCAATCTACTGAGCCATTTCCTAAAAGGGTCTTGGTGGGGGGGGGGGGGTATCTAACCTATGCCTTATTCAAAAGTATAACAAAAAAACAGCATTGAATGTAATGAAACGCCATTTTCTGGGTGAGCCCCGGAGGCTCCCTGGAGCTTATCGGGCTAATGTATGATATGTTAGACCAGGACATTAGGTATAAAGAACCTTTTGATATGTTATATAATTATGAATCAAATCCATAAATAAAAAAATTAATTTGGAGGAATATAACAGACATTATTCAAAGTAATCAGCTATGATCACTGCCTTGCACATATATGAGCTGTATTAACTTAATCACTGAAAACCATATTAATATCTAAAACATGCTGGCTTGCTAGTTGAAACCGGCATTATATGCTATGGACAAGATCTTTAAACACTGCTTAGTATAAGCAACTTCATGTTATTCTATAAATAGTTACAGACAGCAAGGTACAACATAATATGCCATTACCTGGAAGATCCAGCAATATTCAGTGGACTCTCGCCTCATAATTTTAACATATACAGTAATCACATTTTTGGGGAATTGGGTCAAGGTGCAGCAATGCCACTAATATGACTTTAAGTATAGCTATCAAAATATAAACTTCATTTACCAACAGGCAAGCCTATAACAGGGTATGGTATGCCTGCTTGGCTGAAAGCGGTAACTGGCAAGAATGAGGGACAGTGAACCTTGCCAAATGTTACCTCCTTGTAAACATCCTTGAAAAAATTAACAATTAAATAAGTCGATGAATCATAGAAAATGTCTCTTAAAGCAAATTATAATACAACACTATCTGGAAGCAGACATTGAAAATTACCCCAGGGCCAGCCAAGTTACAAAACTTTCCAGGCCAGTTATGAGGCAAAGTTTAAAACTGACTATGAAACCAAAACTTAAGATTCAACAATGGAATAGATGCCTAACAATCATTACACTAACATTTATCTTAAATAAAATAAAATAAATATCTAGCAAAATAATGGGTGGGGCCCTATAAGTACACAAACTGCTGAAATTCACTATAAAATCTGTTGCAAGTCTTGCATCATATAGAAGCTATGTTGCTTGTATATTCTAACAAGTCAGAACTGTACAGTAATTACCATTTGACCTTGCGGACGAGTAGCAACAAACCTGAACTAAGCGTAATGATGATATTTGAAAGAGGAAGCCATCTCCATGCAAAGAATCAGGTGGTGTCAATGAGTGTTGAAGAGGCGGCCGGCTGGTGTGGGTAGCGGATGGGAAGCCGAAGGGTATTGGTGCCAAGGCCAGTCTCGCTACCAGCTGTACCTGTCAATGATCCACCATCTATTATTACTGCCTGTCATATTGCATTGCTTAATTGAAGTTACAGAAAAATAATCATGCTAGTGTTATTATTCTTATGATGGAAAAGGAATACCTGCACAGAAAGACATCTCCATAGACCTATCAGGGTTCAAGTTGACAAGTTGCAGTTTGAGGAGTGGCAAAAAGAGTTCAGTTAGGCATGTGTCTGTGCTTCTTTCCTACCAGTGAATTCCCTCAACCTCTCTTCTCACTGCTGTGTGGCTGTTATGTGCTTTTCTATATTGCCGATATATTTTAGGGTTAGGCCCCTTCGTCTAATATTACCATGTCTCTTTTTATGGTCTCCTCTCAAAATATGTTAAAACAAGTTTCGTTTTCCAGTTCAACACTTTGATTTGTAATTAACTTTTGGATGCCTTAGTTATAAATGTTGTAGAATTTTGTAAACATTTCTTTAACATTCTTACCTACAAACAATCCTTCCTAATCAAATTCATTGAAGAACTTGCTTAGCTCCCTGAAATGACCTCTGTAATTCTCAAATCTGTATGATATCTGGCATTCATCAATCTTCTGTCATACTGAATTGTCTTGTATTTGAGTTCTAATAGGAGACAATCTTGACTACTGCAGGTACGTACTGTATAGAACAGATCACTTCATTGTTCTATATGAACACAAGGTTCACAATAATGGAATATCCCCATCCTTACTCTAACAACAAATTTTATGGCCATGCCTAGTAAACATTCCAAATCCATTTATTTCATACTGAAGTTACCCATTACCAACTTTGCTTTCACTTTATCTGCTCTTTATATTCATTTTAATAATCAATAAAAGACCCTCCTATTTGTGGTCTAGTTCCTCTCTTTTCTATGCATTACTTGCTGTAGATACTGATGGGAATAGATATGGTGGAGAAGGATAGCTTCTTCAGATTGAGAGAAAGCAGGACAAGAGGACATTGGTGGAAGCTGGAAATGCAAATGAGCTAAAGGAACATAAGGAAGTACATGTACTCTGTACGAGTAGTTAACAAGTGGAGTGCTCTAAAGGAAGAAGTTATGGAAGTCACCTCCATCCACAACTTTAAGGCCAAATTTGACAATGAATTTGAAAATCAGAATAATTAACTTTAAATGCAACAAGTACAAGGTTAGTAGGAAATTGAAATAAGTTTATTGAGGTAAAATACACACAAAGGGATGGGGTAGCTCAAGCTATTGTACCCCGTTCAGTACATCGTGTTAATACATACATATACACACATCACAAACATATTACCAAACATTCTGAGAGATAAACAGAATGTTTGGTAGGTTAGTAGGCAGGGCATAAAGAGCCAGACCTCACTTCCCTGTAGACACTGACAAGTAAGTACTGATAGGTAAGCAGATGTTTGGAGAGCCCCAAGGATTCCTCGGGGAGGCGAGCATTTGGCCCCATCAAGGAAAAACATAAAAATCTATCAACTTCACTGTGTCCCCAGTCTGTAAGTGTGCCGGATGTCATACAGTCTGGACTATTGAAGAGGAATGCCCGATGCTAGTATCGAGACCCAACGGGTAAAACCGCTCCATATGTTCCAGCAGCCTGAACACATGACGACCAACCAGTAGGCCTGGTCAGAAACTGGGCCACAGGGACGATTATCCTCAGGACTGATTTGATAAGAGCCCAATAGGCTCCAGAATCTGTAAACCAGTTGATTGGCAGTTTAGAGGCAGGGCCAAAGAGCCAAAGCTCAACCCCCACAAGCACAACTAGGCGAGTACAAGGTAGATTGGTAGGCCCTAAAGGCATCTGCTCAGTCAAGGTTGAAGCAGGATCTCAGCTCAAGAGGGTCTCCTTACAAAGGTCCCAGTAGTAGTTGGGTTCGTTCTTGACGCACAATTGAAAACTCTGGGTTCGAATCTGAGGCGGGACAGAAATGGTTGGGCACAGTTCCTTTCACCTAATGCCTCTGTTCACCTAGCAGTAAATAGGTACTTGCAGCTTGTTATAGGGTTGCATCCTGGGCGGGGTCAGTAAATCTACCTTGGGGATGGATGGGAGGGGGGGAACCTCGAAATAAGCCTAACGTGTATCAATACACTCTGGCTTCCTATCCCCGGTGCAATGAAGATGTCACTATCCTCACCAAATATGTATTTTTCTTCCTTAAATCAATAATGAACCCTGCTTGATACTAAACTTTTACTTCTAAACCTACAAACCTGACAACGTCTCGAGTGTGTTGATGTTTCTGTTTGAGGGGCGTCTTCTTCTTCTTAGCAGGTGCAGTTTGCATGAAGGGTTTGTCCTCCCGATGACTGCACCAGAGGAACGTCCACTGATGGAGGACTGGATTGATTGATGAAGATTAAGCCACCCGAAAGGTGGCACGGGCATGAATAGCCCGTAAGTGGTGGCCCTTTTGAGCCATTACCAGTATCAATAGATGATACTGGAGATCTGTGGAGGTGTGACTGCACCCTGCGTCACTCGGAGGGCTGGGGTGGGCCCGGCGTCTTGAGACCCTATGTTATTGTTATTGGGTAAGGGGCAGTTACAGCACTGGGTCATACCTACCCCATCGTTCTGTAACGTATTGTTTACGTATACATATTTGGTTGTTTAGACACACAGTGTTTAGTGAGGGGTTTTATATTTATTTTGTATAGTCTTGGTTACAGCAGTCGGTTTGTTGGCAGTGTAATGAATTGTAGTTGAGACGAAGCCTGCAGCAGGCAACCCGTCCTCGACTCAAGTCCATTACATCCAGCGGTCGACCCCAAAGACGCATTCATAAATTTTTCATGCTGTTCATTCAAAATGGAAAGTTTCTCAAATATAAATTAATATTTTAATATATTAGCATGTTGTGCATTATGCTTGTATTTGTGCTTGCAGTAGGCGATTATTTGTATTTGTAGTACGTGGATGAAGCATTTATAGCGTTGTGGTTCGAACAAAAGTCGTCAGTGAAGAACTTGCGGGGAAGTTCCGGAAGTGTTAGAACGAAATCAGTTGTGAGTCGTGTGTAAACCGTTTTTCATTCATAAACAGCGGGTTTGGCGGGTACATGGAATCACTTTTAGGTCTTTGTTTGGAGGACAGGCTGAAAGCATTTGAGCAGTCTCCGTGGCATGGTGGTAAGACACTCACCTGGCCTTCCGCGAGCGCTTTGCCCTGGGTTCGTATCCTGGCCGGGGAGGATTTACTGGGCGCAAATCCTTAACTGTAGCCTCTGTTTAACTCAGCAGTAAAATGGGTACTTGGTTGCAAAAACGATTCTTCGCGGGGGTCGTATTCCAGGGACCTTAGGATTAAAGACTTGCCCGAAACGGTACGCGTACTAGTAGTGGCTGTACAAGAATGTAACAACTCTTGTATATATCAATAAAAACAAATTACGGCAGTGTGGTTCGAACAAAATTCATCAGTGAAGCACTTGTTTCGGAAGTGTTCGAACGAAATCAGTTGTGAGTCGTGTGTAACAGCCCGTCCTATCAAATATCAAATTAAATAAAAAAAAAGTGTAGAAAATCGAGCGTGTTTGTAAAGTGATAGAATTGAGAGGCGTTCTATGAGGCTGGTCGTACTGCTCCGTGCTGTGCAACACAACTGTGTAAGCAGTTATCATATCAGGTCTCGGAGTGTACTAAAACCTGGACAAGAACCAAAGCTTTATTATATTAGTTGGTGATGGTGAGCCACGCTGAGGAGAGAGAGAGAGAGAGAGAGACCACACACACACACACACACACACACACACAGAGACAGAGAGAGCGAGCGGGATTCTCCACCTATCCAAACGCTTACTTCTTTTAATGACCAGACCACACACTTGAAGGTGAAGGGACGACGACGTTTCGGTCCGTCCTGGACCATTCTCAAGTCAATTGTGCATTATGACAATCGACTTGAGAATGGTCCAGGACAGACCGAAACGTCGTCATCCCTTCACCTTCTAGTGTGTGGTCTGATCAACATACTTTAGCCACGTTATTATGACTCATCGCCTGCTTACTTCTTTTGCTTTTGGATGATATGGGTTTGAGGACGGGCGGAGTGGGCGTGGAGCTGGCTGTGGGCGGGTGAGCGGGGTTGAGCAGTAGATCGCTAGAGGAGGAGTGTTGTCTCCTACCAGGTGGAAGGACAGGCGCCAGGTTACCCGACCAGGCACCAGCGCCTCCACCCACGGACTGGACGACGGTAGCTTCCTCGGAGAGGGTGCGGGCGTGCGGGGACCGCCTGGCCGCCGTGCGGGTGTGGGCGGGGGAGCCCGGCATGCTGGTGCTCGTAGTGCAGGCGGTTCCACCCTCACCTAACAGTGATACAAGAGTTAAGGTCTACACCCACTACCAGCGTCACTCAAACCCCAATCTACTTAGTTATTAACTCACCGTACAGACATGTAACTCACCATATAGACACATATAACTCACCATACAGACACATTACTCACTAATAACTCACCATACAGGCATATATAATTCACCATACAGACACATTACTCACTAATAACTCACCATACAGACATTTTGTGTGTTGATAAACGATTTTAATTAGTTAATGGTGTTCAGTGGAATTTTCCCCCACTTTTATATTTCTTTATTGTTGAGCTCACGATCATGTGTATTTTGTGCTATTATTGCCCCTGTGTTAGTGTGAGCAGCCTTATAGACTCAATATATTCTCCCTTGGTAAATTGGTTAAGCCACATTTAAAGTAACTTCGTCCCTCTTTTCAAATAATTGGGGATCCACATTGTGGATTTATGTTGCGCTTGACTGGTCCTTTCCCGCAGCCAATTAGCCTCATTTCTGAGGTTGGAAGAAAACGTGCTCAGATTGGGGACTTGTTTATTTTATAATGGTAAATAATAAATTAATATATAATAAATTAATAAATAATAAATTAATTATTATTATATAATAAATAATAATAATAATAATAATAAATAGTATAATGATAAGCAATTATTTTTAATGAATCAAATAGCTAATTAGGATGAATGATAAATAATTATTGACTAGTGCATAACAATAAAGTATTAAGGAATAATTATAATGAATAATCCTTAATGATAAAGTAGAAATCAATTACAATTAATAACTACATCCATAGGTAGTAAATGAAAGTTGCATTAATTTAATTACACTAATTACAATTCATGGGAATATTTCTTAGCTATCTGCAGGCTTATCCCTTTGGGGGTTCCGGCGGAGCAGCCCCAAAGATACGGCAAATGCTTAGCATGCTAGAACAAGTGCCCCTTGAGCACGTCTGTGGGCCGTCCCTTTCAAAAATAAAACAGAGGATCCCGGGAGGAGGGTGGGCGTTTTGTAAGAGAGAAAAGCTGCTGGCTTGTCGGGAAGAGGGGCCACGCAGTCTGCGTCCGGGTTTATATAACCTCGGCTCGTTGCGCGCGCAGCTTGGGGCGATTAAAGTCAGCTTCCAGACATACGTTCTCTTCCCTCAGAAAACCCACCGTTTTTGGGAAAAACAGTGTTCTTTTACGGAAACTCTGGGGATAGGTGGTGGCAGCGTTGTCAAAGTCTCTACAGTTTGCTTGTAGCTGAAAGGTACAGTGTCCTTGTTTTGTGGTATCTTGGTGGTCAAGCGCCAAGGATACAAGGCCTCACTGGATTGCTGGAGGTTACAGTAAGGATAAAACGGTGAGCATCAGAACCGTTAAATAACGACCAGCCAGACTATGTCATAGCTCGTTGACCAGACCACACACTAGAAGGACCACACACTTCGCAGTCTCCGTGGTGTAGTGGTAAGACACTCGCCTGGCGTTCCACGAGCGCTATGTCATGGGTTCGTATCCTGGCCGGGGAGGATTTACTGGGCGCAATTCCTTAACTGTAGCCTCTGTTTAACGCAACAGTAAAATGTGTACTTGGATGAAAAAACGATTCTTCGCGGCAGGGGATCGTATTCCGGGGACCATAGGATTAAGGACTTGCCCGAAACGCTACGCGTACTAGTGGCTGTACAAGAATGTAACAACTCTTGTATATATCTCAAAAAAAAAAAAAAAAAAAAAAAAAAAGGTGAAGGGACGACGACGTTTCGACGACAATCGACTTGAGAATGGTCCAGGACGGACCGAAACGTCGTCGTCCCTTCACCCTCTAGTGTGTGGTCTGGTCAACATACTTTAGCCACGTTATTGTGACTCATCGCCTGCATGTCGTAGCTCAGTCGATTAAAGCAGCGTCTGGGATGTTCTCGGACGTAGGTTCGAATCACGGCCCTTATGGATTTGTCCATTTGATGCATCACGCTAATTTGTGTGTGTAACGTCCAGTATTAACCAGGGACTGAAGAGTGAGGGCGGTAACCGTTACAGTGAGAGGGAAGGAGGCGGGAGGAACTGACCTGGACGCGGGCGGGATTAACTGACCTGGACGCGGGCGGGAGGAACTGACCTGGACGCGGGCGGGAGGAACTGACCTGGACGCGGGCGGGAGGAACTGACCTGGACGCGGGCGGGAGGAACTGACCTGGACGCGGGCGGGAGGAACTGACCTGGACGCGGGCGGGAGACGACCAGCTGGCGCTGTGTGTGGAGAATCTGGCGGAGGTGATGGTCCAAGACGTCCTCGTGCTGGCGGGTCACCAGGGGCTTCAGGGACCCGCTCCGTCTGCTGCCCTCACCCTGCAACCACCACACCGTCTCACCACACCCTCTTTATTCCTACCCCGCCACACCATCTTCAAGTATGTTTATTGAGACAAGAAAAATCACCACACCATGTTACCCCGCCATCTTAACCCCCAGGGTATTATATACCGCACCACGTGAGCACACGATCTCCCCTCCCCTGAGTAGTGAAACACACACCTCCACCTCCCACCCCCCAACTTCTGCTCCTCCTTCAACATATGGTTCCACCCCACACCAACCCCCCCCCACGCCCTAGCTGTTAGACCCACTGCTCCACAAGCCTTACCCTATATCACACTATTACCCTAGTTACTGTACTGTTCTCCCCCCCCCCCCAACTCTTTTTCCTCTCTCGTACCTGTCCCCTGCTCCCTCCCTCCACTCCCTCTCCCTTCCCCTCTCCCTACCTGTCCCCTGCTCCCACTCCCTGTGCGAGGCGCCTCACCTGTGAGGAAGAGGGTGGTGGGGTCTTGGAGGTGGTCGGGAAGACGAAGAGGTTCTTGGCCAGTGTCTTGGGCAGGGAGGTGGGCGGCGGGGAGCGGATGAGGTGTTGGTGCACCTCAGACAGCGACAACACCCCCTCCTGGCTCTCCTGCGGGGCACGGGCCATGGGTAAGTGTCACACGCACGCACGGGTGTCACACGCACGCACGGGTGTCACACGCACGCACGGGTGTCACACGCACGCACGGGTGTCACACGCACGCACGGGTGTCACACGTACGCACGGGTGAGTGGCACCCTGAGGCCACTTGTTATATGGCATAACAACACAACCAATAATTACAAACACCCGCAAGTTGACCATCTCGTGCTGTCTGGCAACTGAGTGTAGGAATATTTCTCTCTAAATTGGTTCTTCACTAACACTATTAATATACTACATTAGAAGCATGTAACAGGTAACATGTTATTAGAATATATTAGAAGCAGGTAACCTGCGTTACCTGCGTCACTAAGGGGGTGGGGAAGAGTTACCTGCGTCACTAAGGGGATGGGGAAGCGTTACCTGCGTCACTAAGGGGGGGGGGAAGAGTTACCTGCGTCACTAGGTGAGCCCGGTCCTCATGCTGGCCGCCAGTGACGCCTGGCGCCGGGTCCTCGTCGTTGAGCGAGGTGTGGGAGTCCGCCACTCTCTGTCACAAACAAATTTCTTCATTATTCATCTCTAACATTTCCTCAAGCACACATTATTCAGATAATTATCTTCCTGTCCGTCTTGGTTGGTCTGTGTGTGAGGTGTGAGTGACATCTGGATGTTGTTACAAAGTTTTATCATAGCTATGATTACAACATTACTTTATTACTAAGTAACTGGGCCTCAGGGGGATGGATACAGCACTGAAGAAATCTCCTCGTTACAGCACTGTAACATAAATGTAACTATGGTTACAATAAGGAGGCCTGGTCGAGGACCGGGCCGCGGGGACGCTAAGCCCAGGAATCATTGCCAGGTTTCAAAGTCATATTTTAACATTTAACAGTACATTCTTGCCCTAAGCTTCAGGAATGACACCGGATAACCCCGTCGCCTGTGCTAGCCGGTGTTAGGTCGTGTATTTGGACTCAACTTTGGAACACAAAATTAAAGAATATAGTTTATACAAAATAAAGATGATATTCTGTGTTTATTCCAACACAATGTGATACTATTGAGTTCTGGCGAGGCGTTGTGCGTGTTAGTGGCTTTGCAGTTATGTCAACAAAAGGGGGTAGAAATAGCCTAAGCTACTCTATCCCTTTGAGATGTATTTTTTTTCTTGTATCAATAAAGATACTTGAACTTGAAGAATGTTAAAATACCAATCTCATGTACTCTCACAACCCAATGTGCCTTCTATAAATAAGTAAATAAAATCAATAAAATTATTAAAAGTTTGCCTAGAGTGTAGGAGCCACGTTGGAGCAAGTTATACACTGTTTGCCTTGGGTGTATATAATAGTTTGTGGTAAATACACCCTAGCTGGGCGTACAATGATAAAGGTTCCATATAGTCATTGGAAAGTAATACTGTTTATAGTGGAACTTATTGTAAGTTACAGTAAACACAGGTACACAAAAATGCAAACGTTTTGGAGTCTGCTTCACGACTGGTTGGTGTTGGGCTTAAAGCCTATTAATTTATGAAGGATTATTAAGGGGACCAAAACAACGTATAGACCAAGCACCAAGTGTACTTTGGTCCTAATCAGTCCACACTAAAGTAACTCTCAGTGTATACACACACAAGTTGGGTACACCTCTTGGTGTTAATGATGGCCAGGTGCTCCTACCAACAAAATAAAACATAAAATAATTTAGAAAATTACTACCCTTTGTAAACAAAGACTAAGTGATTTGACATGCCAAGACTTTATTGCATACATTTATTGCAGCTTGCAGCAGCCATTGGATTATAGGTCTGAACCTTGCTAACACCCCTTCAGATCCCCGCATGATGTTCACACTCTCGTGTATTGTTAGAAAGTTATTATATTCACCCAGGCACAATACCTGCTCCACGGCTTGGCCAACATCAGCAACTCCAGCACCAGGGGAGCACACACGTCCAGGCACCAGGGAACTCACTGTGCACAGCTCTACCAGTTCGCCATGAAAGATGGTATCACCGACCAGCTGTGGCTTGTGGCTCCCATCTTCATCTACTTGTAAAATCTGGAATCTATTCTGTGTTGCTATTGGTATTAATGGTTCCTGCTTAACCAGCTTCAGCCCTTTCCGGACAGGCATGAACCAGGCGTTATCACGCGGGGGGATAACAGGCTGTACAGTAATTGACCTCTTGCTGCTGCTGCTGCCTCCACCACCCTCATTCTCACTCAGCCTCCCACCACGAAAATATGTCATCGTGAATTTATGAAGCTCATCTGTGGTGCAGCTCCCAGAACATGGAGCTCTGGTGGCAGGCAAGTTGCTCCCTGCAGCAGGCGTCACCGTAACAATGGTGGCAGGCAAGTTGCTCCCTGCAGCAGGCGTCACCGTAACAATGGTGGCAGGCAAGTTGCTCCCTGCAGCAGGCGTCACCGTAACAATGGTGGCAGGCAAGTTGCTCCCTGCAGCAGGCGTCACCGTAACAATGGTGGCAGGCAAGTTGCTCCCTGCAGCAGGCGTCACCGTAACAATGGTGGCAGGCAAGTTGCTCCCTGCAGCAGGCGTCACTGTAACAATGGTGGCAGGCAAGTTGCTCCCTGCAGCAGGCGTCACCGTAACAATGGTGGCAGGCAAGTTGCTCCCTGCAGCAGGCGTCACTGTAACAATGGTGGCAGACAAGTTGCTCACTGCAGCAGGCGTCACTGTAACAATGGTGGCAGGCAAGTTGCTCCCTGCAGCAGGCGTCACTGTAACAATGGTGGCAGGCAAGTTGCTCCCTGCAGCAGGCGTCACTGTAACAATGGTGGCAGACAAGTTGTGCTCCCTGCAGCAGGCGTCACTGTAACAATGGTGGCAGACAAGTTGTGCTCCCTGCAGCAGGCGTCACTGTAACAATGGTGGCAGGCAAGTTGCTCCCTGCAGCAGGCGTCACTGTAACAATGGTGGCAGGAAAGTTGCTCCCTGCAGCAGGCGTCACTGTAACAATGGTGGCAGGAAAGTTGCTCCCTGCAGCAGGCGTCACTGTAACAATGGTGGCAGGAAAGTTGCTCCCTGCAGCAGGCGTCACTGTAACAATGGTGGCAGACAAGTTGCTCCCTGCAGCAGGCGTCACTGTAACAATGGTGGCAGGAAAGTTGCTCCCTGCAGCAGGCGTCACTGTAACAATGGTGGCAGGCAAGTTGCTCCCTGCAGCAGGCGTCACTGTAACAATGGTGGCAGACAAGTTGTGCTCCTGCAGCAGGCGTCACTGTAACAATGGTGGCAGGCAAGTTGTGCTCCCTGCAGCAGGCGTCACCGTAACAATGGTGGCAGGCAAGTTGCTCCCTGCAGCAGGCGTCACTGTAACAATGGTGGCAGGCAAGTTGTGCTCCCTGCAGCAGGCGTCACTGTAACAATGGTGGCAGGTAAGTTGCTCCCTGCAGCAGGCGTCACTGTAACAATGGTGGCAGGCAAGTTGCTCCCTGCAGCAGGCGTCACCGTAACAATGGTGGCAGGCAAGTTGTGCTCCCTGCAGCAGGCGTCACCGTAACAATGGTGGCAGGCAAGTTGTGCTCCCTGCAGCAGGCGTCACCGTAACAATGGTGGCAGGCAAGTTGCTCCCTGCAGCAGGCGTCACTGTAACAATGGTGGCAGGCAAGTTGCTCCCTGCCCCAGTGGATGTGAGAGGGAGTACCACCTCCAGAGCACTATAGAGAGATAAAGAGCATGCTGCAGGAAGCAACACTCCCTACTGCTCGTCGGACTCAGAAGCCTGGCCCAGCTCACCTCACAAAGGTTACCGTTGACGTCGGAGGACCTACACTAGCCACCACCACTGGACTAGGCTGGTGTGTGTGTAAATATTTAACACCAAGGTTCACGCAGGTTTCAGCTCCGTGAAACACTGTCGTCTCCCTGACTGGCTTCAACCCTGGCTGGTTGTTGCCCGCGTCCGGAGCCTGAGTCCTGCACACACACGAGCTGGTAGCTCCTGGTTGTCCTAGTCATTCTGGAAGTACTGAAGGGTACATTTAGTCCGTGAGTCGGCGCAGCAACAACTGGCAACTGAGGACTGGTTGTCAAGGCCCCACACACACACACACACACACACACACACACACACACACACACACACACACACACACACACACACACACACACACACACACACACACTGGGTTTATTGTGTGTGTAAACCCAATGTATGTAAAGTCAGTGTGTGTGTATGTGTAAACCCAAACGTCTTGCAATACAAGACACTTGTATTACAAGATTACTGCGTAAATTATTCTAAACTGGAGCGTTGGATGATATTGATTGACTCGATGTAATACGGGGAACACTTGTTGGAACAGAATAGCGTTAGCTACACCTAATTAATTCTGAAATACTCTTTGTTGGTGAACTGGGCAGGAGAATGGCGAGTCTACTCAACAACCTTAACAACCAGTCCACAGTGAACGGGTCGCTGACCTTTATCATGCCACTCAGCAGCCTCGTCCTGCACTCTCTCTCTCCCATCCCTCAAACTTAATCCTTTGGGCATAAAAGCCGGTGATGACTGATGCGAGGATGTTGTTGACTGTCTGACAGGTGCATAGATAGTGGTGATTGGTTGGATTGTACGCGGGAACGTTGCCTATTGGTTGATTCGTGCGCGGGAGAGTTGCCGACTGACTAACTTGTGTGAGGGAGTTGCCGACTGACTAACTTGTGTGAGGGAGAGTTGCCGACTGACTAACTTGTGCGCGGGAAAGTTGCCGACTGACTAACTTGTGTGCGGGAAAGTTGCCGACTGACTAACTTGTGTGAGGGAGTTGCCGACTGACTAACTTGTGTGAGGGAGAGTTGCCGACTGACTAACTTGTGTGCGGGAGAGTTGCCGACTGACTAACTTGTGTGAGGGAAAGTTGCCGACTGACTAACTTGTGTGCGGGAGAGTTGCCGACTGACTAACTTGTGCGCGGGAAAGTTGCCGACTGACTAACTTGTGCGCGGGAGAGTTGCCGACTGACTAACTTGTGTGCGGGAGAGTTGCCGACTGACTAACTTGTGTGAGGGAAAGTTGCCGACTGACTAACTTGTGTGCGGGAAAGTTGCCGACTGACTAACTTGTGCGCGGGAAAGTTGCCGACTGACTGGCTACTGCACGGGAGCTCTGTTGACTGGCCGACTTTTGAGTAAAGTAGTATTGAGTGAGTAGTCAGAGTGTGTTGCTGAATGATGCATGGTCCCCAGTGCTAATTAGGTCACGCTGCCTCACTCCCGTCGATCCCTCTGTCGACGGCACTTTGTTTTCGACAGTTAGCTAGTCTTCCCAAACTGCACCTGACGGGAACTATGTTCTTAGTGCTGCTGCTTTCCCCAAATCAGGGCCCCGAGTGCAATCACAAGGGTTGACTAGAGTACAACAATGGTGCCGATTGGTTGACTGGGGCACGGGAGTCGTGTCGATTGGTTCACTAGTGTAAATCAGACCTGGTGACTGGTTGACTGGTGCAAAGACCTGGTGACTGGTTATAACTGGAGCGGATGAGACCCGCAGGCTGGCCATACACGACAAACATGATTAAAAGATTGACTAAATGATCAAACTCGACAGCGGGACTCACTATTCATATCTGACAGTGTTGATAAAAACGACTAACCCGTCAGAGAAAACTGGGAAAATGGCATTAAGGAAAATGTATGCGGTGTTAGGGAGGACTGCGCTGTGTTGGGAGGGGAAGTGACTGTGGGGAGCATTGACACTACAGTGAAAGAGGCAAAGATGCCAGCCATGAGCTGTTTCCATTTGGCTGAAGAGGTAAGAAAGGGCGTGAGAAAGGCGAGTACCTACCTGCAAGTAAGGGTTGTCTTGCCGTGAGAGTCTAATGGCTTCCATGTCAATGCCAATGTCACGAGACTTGACGGGTGTGTGGTGGAGGGTTCCCGCCACCGGTGTTCCTCCTTCCTCCAGTGACGGCATCATTTCTGGTGACGTCATCATCACTGGTGACGTTAAAGCTTCTAGAGATGACGTCATTTCCTTCCTGGAAGTATCATAGTAGGGCACTGCCACTCTAGAGGGGTCATGTTGGGCCAACGTCCCTCTAGAGGGGTCATGGTGGGTCAACGCCACTCTGGAGACTTCATGATGGGGCACTGTCACTATAGAAGGGTCATGTTGGGCCAACGTCCCTCTAGAGGGGTCATGGTGGGTCAACGCCACTCTGGAGACTTCATGATGGGGCACTGTCACTATAGAAGGGTCATGTTGGGCCAACGTCCCTCTAGAGGGGTCATGCTGGGTCAACGCCACTCTGGAGAGTTCATGATGGGGCAACGCCACTATAGAAGGGTCCTGTTGGGTCAACGCCACTCTAGAGGGGTCATGCTGAGTCAACGCCACTCTAGAAGGGTCAAGTTGGGCCAACACCACTCTAGAGGGGTCATGCTGGGTCAACGCCACTCTAGAGGGGTCATGTTGGGCCAACGTCCCTCTAGAGGGGTCATGCTGGGTCAACGCCACTCTAGAGGGGTCATGTTGGGTCAACGTCACTCTAGAGGGGTCATGTTGGGTCAACGTCCCTCTAGAGGGGTCATGCTGGGTTACCGCCACTCTAGAGGGGTCATGTTGGGTCAACGTCCCTCTAGAGGGGTCATGTTGGGTCAACGTCCCTCTAGAGGGGTCATGTTGGGTCAACGTCCCTCTAGAGGGGTCATGCTGGGTTACCGCCACTCTAGAGGGGTCATGTTGTTTCAACGCCACTCTGGAGAGGTCATGTTGGGTCAGAGCCGCACCGGAGAGGTCATGTCGGGTCAACACAGCGCTACTCTCCTGCCAGCCGCCAATGTCTCCAGCACCTGGAAATATAGTGAGGTAGATTATTGAAAGGTACCAGTGATGCTCCTTTGTTAAAAGAAGGCTGCTGGGTGTGTTTATAAGTTGGTAACCAGCCACACTGGTTGTGTGGCTGGTTACCACACACTGTACCAGCCTTCACTGTACCAGCAACACACTGTACCAGCCACACACTGTACCAGCCTTCACTGTACCAGCCACACACTGTACCAGCCACACACTGTACCAGCCACACTGGTTGTGTGGCTGGTTACCACACACTGTACCAGCCTTCACTGTACCAGCAACACACTGTACCAGCCACACACTGTACCAGCCACACACTGTACCAGCCACACTGGTTGTGTGCCTTATTTTTGTTGCCTGGTCGTAGAATTCAAGTAACCCTGTGAGGTAGGACCTGCCATCCCTGAACCCATGTTGATGCTGTGTTATAAAGTTCTTTCGCTACAGATGCTCCACTAGCTTTCTTCGCACAATCTTCTCCATCAGCTTGCATGGTATGCAGGTTAGGGACACTGGCCTGTAGTTCAGTGCCTCCTGTCTATCCCCTTGTATATCTGTGTGTGTGTGTGTGTGTGTGTGTGTGTGTGTGTGTGTGTGTGTGTGTGTGTGTGTGTGTGTGTGTGTGTGTGTGTGTGTGTGTGTATCGGGTACTGACCGTGAAGGGTAATGTCTGGAGGTGTGATGTGGTCCAAAGTGTCGTGGTCTCGGCGCCTCTTGAAGATGCTGGTGATGAACTCGAAGGGTCGACGGTGTCCAGGCTCCTCTTCACTCCCGGACAGCATCGGTGCCTGCAACTGTGTTCTTGTTAATTGTTGGCGGGCGTGAGGGGTGGTAGTGGGAGTGTCCCATCACCACACCCTCCCCCTCCCTCCCATCCCCCTGCAACACACCACCCCCATCCCATCAACAAACCATCCACTCCTTCCCATCAACATACCTTCCCGTCCCTCGCATCAACACCATCCTCTCTGTCCCATCAATACTCCATCCCCTCCCTTCTTCCCATTAACATATCTCTCTTCCCCATCGACATACCATCCCCTCTGTCCCATCACCCCACCTTCCCCTCCCGCCATAAAAAGGGTTGTATAGTAATCCATATTTGATCAAGTTCGCATTAATTATTCCCGCCAAGACTCCCGTCGCGCCTCACCTTACATTCACTGCGTTCAGTTCCTCGCATCCTCACAAGTTTGAAACTGGTATGCTATTTTGCAGAAAATATTTTTCAGGAATTAACTGTTAATGTTGATAATATTAAGCACAGGATTTATAGGACAATAATATTTTTGCTGTGGGAATATATTTGGTCCGTTTACAGATTCATAAATTCTGGCTTCAGAGACTACGTGGAATCGGACAAGTTCGCACAGAACAGCTGACTTTTGTTGACATTGACGGGACATAAAATTAAACAAGCACCAGCTACAAGCACCAGCGAGCACTCACAACTTAATCACTTTATGCAGCAAATGAACGCAGCTTAACTAAGTGAATACATCAAAATGGGAGTCCCAGAAAACCCCCACAACCAAAGTAGTCCTGAGTGGAGGCAGCTGCGGGTAGGACAACACAGCTCTTGGACAAATCGATCGCTTGTGCTGAAGAGCGTCTAGACTCTTGCCAAGTGCTTGCTCATTTATCCACGCATTTTGTAATGTATTTACTATATTCCTCGCTTTGAGTAACC